TTGATCACCTGGCAGAAGTAGTGTTTGTTGGGTTTTTCCACTATAACATTACTAGTTATTACCCCTACCCTTTACAGAATTAACTCCTTGGAAGAAAATCACTGCATAAAACCTACACTTAAAGAAAGGATAATTTACTTTATAAACAATTGAGTATTGGGAAATATGTTGTCTGATTTCAAAATAGTAATTTTTGTTTTGTTATCTGTTTTTTCTAATGATAGCTTAACTGTGGTCAGGAAAGGCACTGTATTATTTCAGTTTCTTGAAATTGTTGGAATTAGCTTATTATCCATTCTATAGGACAATTCTGATAAATGTTCTAAACACTCTTGAAAATAATGTTCATTTCCTCATTATTGGGTGCAAAGTCCTACATATGTGAATTCGACAAATTGGTTCATCTTGCTCTTCCGATCTTCTACATAATTAGCATTTTTATCTGCTTCTATTAGCAAAAATAACATATTAATTTTTTTCTCTAATCTTCATGGATAAATTGAACAAAAAAAACAAAATAATATTAGATTATAACCCATAGCATATATAAAATAAATATCCATGAGTCCACACTGATATAAATTTATGACTGAATAAATAAATGGGTGGGAATATATTTCTCATGAAGAAATTCCAAATAACTTATGTAGTTTTGCTGCCCTCAAGGAGCTGGAGCATACTTGACAAACACACACAACGGACAGATACTACTTCTCCTAGGTGATGAAGGTCGTCATCCACAGTGGTACGCCATGTTAACAGTATGTACCCTGTTAAGATGTGATGAGAGTGGCATTTCACCTCCATAGTCTTCTTCACAAAGACCCCAGCCCCAGTATAATCACAAGAAAAAACAGCAAAATCTCAACTGAAGGACACTCTCCAAAATCCCTGATAAGAACACCCAACACTATCAAGGTCATTCAAAACAAAGAAAGTCTGATACACTGCTACAGCCAAGAGGAACCTTGGGAGACGCAGACACCAAATGTAATGTGGAACAGAAAAAAAGATAAGGAAAAGTAAACAAATCTGAGTACAGTATGAAATTCATGCAATGATAAAGTATGCTTATGGTTCATGAATTCTAGCAATTATAAGAGGGTAATAATAGAGGACCCGAGGAATGTGGTATTTGAGAACTTTCCATGCTATAGTCACAGTGCTTCTATAAATCTGAAACTGTTCTAAAAATAAGTTTAACTTTTAAAATATCCTTTTTATATTTGTTCTTATTCCAACAACCTGTCTCCTATAAGCTACACTGTCATTACTTGGCACAGAAATCACGACACAAGACTTTTGTCTTCTCTCCTTTTTCCTCAGCATTAAATGCAAATTCAGAAGTCTAGTATCTGTCTTGCAATCATGAGGTGGTGATGAAAAAACACACTCTGAGGATGTCATCAATAAACTAACAGGACCAAGCTGCAGCAAAAGTTGACTGCTCACCTCCAGCCTCTCTATTACTTGACAAGAATAGACCCCTTATATCTAAGCCACGGTATGTTAGCTTGTCTGTTATTCACAACCAAATTGAGTTCTACTACATAAAGATACCCATTAATTATTTGTTGAGTGTGTTAATAAGTAATGGCTTTAATATTATTACAAAAAAATATCTGGGGTTGTGTTTATCACTTAACAGTGTGGAATTATCTTCCTGTACGGTGGTGGACAGGTCCAGATAACAGGGAGCAGATAATGAAGAGCATCTCTATTATCCAGAACATAGGGGAAATATGTTAGAAAAAGCATGTATTGTTCATGCCAAACAAACTTGAATTATAGTCTTTGCTCATCCATTAAGTAGCTCTGTGTCTCTGCATAGTGTAAGTAGTCTCTTCAGGTCTTAGTTCCCTCATCTGTCAAATTAAAGCATTCACTGTCTTATGGGAGATTTTACAAAATAAAAGAATGAAATAATATATAGAAAGCAATTATTATATATTGGGAAAATGAGAGCCACAAAAAAAATGTTGATTCTCTTTCTCTTTTGTTGGAAATCTTATGGTAAAATTTTCTACTTTTATCAGGCGTCTATAGTATCTCATATAAGCTGCTAAAAGGTGAAGGAAAAATTACCTTCTCAGTAATAATGGCAATTTTTAAAAACCAGTTCAATGTACCTGTTTCCCTGCTAGACATATCTTTGTTAGTTATACATTATAACTAAATACAAAACATATTTTTATAATGGATGAAGAATAGTCCCAGAGAACAAGAGGAACTGGACCTCAGAGAGGCTTGGTAACTTGGCAAAGATCTACAGCTAGTAAAATGCCAACTATGAGGTTAAAATGCAGGGTCTTATTTTCAAGTCAAGGTTTTATATTTTTCCATATTATATATATGTTATCCTAGCTAGAAAAATATTAAAAGTAGGTAAATTATTAAATTAGAAACTGAGTACTGAGAAATTCTGTAGCTGACAATAACTTCCATTTGATTAACATTACTGATTCTGAACATTACTGAACACATTACACATGTTCTTCATCTCCCAAAACTTCGAAAATATCCTTAGCTAAGTAAACATTCTATTTCAAATGTCCAGATAAGAAGCAAATTACAGAGTATCAGTGACTTCTCCAAGATCATGTAACCTGTATCTGGCAGAGCCAGGACTCAGGACAGGTGCATTACCCCTTATTTCTGGATGTTTCCACTCTCCTTGACTCTGTCTATCTTGGCTGATATAAATATTTCATCTTTAAATGTTCTTACAAATATTATCACATTTCCTTTGTCTAGAGGTTTTTATGTTCTAACCTAGTTATAAATGTATTTAAAATAAATTACTAATTGCTTTAGAAGCTTTTTCTATTCCAGCTTAAGACTAGCTATATTTCCTAGTTGCCAAGAGTATCTTAGACATAAATTGGTCAGTAAAGTCTGAAAAATATCAACATATTCTACTCCTTGGAGGAGAGCTGACAAGTAACAGGAAGGAAGGAGTCCAGAAGATAAGGAAGATAAGAAAGAAGTGTATTATGTTAGAAAAGAACAAATCAAATCAATGAAGAATAGAAGCTAACTTTTATTAAGTACCCACTATGGGTAAAGCCTTATATTTGACCATCCTCTTTGTTATCTATTTTAATATCTTCATACAGCTGTGGAGTATGTCAAGGCAAGTGTTGGTTGGAAGGAAACTAGAACAGAACACAAACAGTAAAGAAAAGAATTCATCTAGTTTTGCAGTCCAGGAAGCTTGACTTATTCCATTTAAACATAGTCTTCCTAAAGGTAGGAAAGGTAGAATTGCCTTCCTTTTTTCCCCCCAAATGACTCTTTCTCCCCATTCTCTGAGACTTCAGCAGAAACACAGGAGCCAGAATCTACTCTCCTCTTGAAGTTGCACCCATGCTTTTAGTGGCCTTCTTCTTATAGTAGAAAAGGTCCTCCCATCTCCATGTCAGAGCCTCTGCTTCCATTCTGAATACAGATTCTGAATTCCTACTTTCTTGGGGACTTCCAGCACTCATCATCTCCCTTGTCCACATTATTCATACGTTAGGGGAGCACTTCCAAACAACGTGCAGACATCCTCTAGTAACTCATGTAAACCAACTGAAACCAACAATACTTTCTGATCCTTGAACTCAACTCAATCGGGACCTACCAAAAATAGCATGCTTTCTGCTATTGCATCTAGAAGATAAGACCATGAACCAACTGAAAAGTTTACTTTATCAGGACTAACCACTTGCTACTCATCGAGACCTCTGTTAGCAGAGATAAGCTTCTTTCTTCATTGTTTAGCCTCCGTATCAGCGCTTGAAATAGGTGTGTGCTCTGTTTCATAGTAACCTCTTCTCTCAGCTGCCATACCACTATATTCTTTTTCTCCTCCCTTCTACCTTAATGCTCTTTGTTGGCTCTACCTTCCTTTCCCCTATCTGCCTCTAAATGTTGGGTATTCCCAGGTTTAATATGAGAATTTCTTCAGTTTTGGTATTGAGACTTCCTGTTTCTAGTTTTTCTAAGTAATCTTCTCCATTCCTGGAATTAGAAATAGCATCATTTTCTTGATGACTCCCAAAGATTTGTCTTCTTCCCAGAGTTTTTTGAACTCTAGACTTAAATCAGGTTAATCTTCATTATTTGTAGCATCTGTGCTTATGAATTAAACTACTCATTAGAATTTATTTCTAGCCCCCTAATCAGTATTGAAACCACTTTAGTGGCCATTCATGGACACACATTCCCAGTTCAGATCAAAAAAAGCAAAGCTCTGCCTTTTTGTTTCAGCTCTTTTGCTGTAAACAAGTTTCCCTTTTGTAATATATTTAGTGCCATATTTTTGACATGTTTATGATTTTTATTTGGGATTTCGCTGTTTAAAATTATCCCACACCCCCAGAATAGTACTGAAGTGCTCTCTAGCACATGAAAAGTATGATGTGCTTTTGAATAGAAACATCCAAAACAAAGTACATTTTGATTCATTGATGAAAATATGACTGATGTCTAGCAGGAAACTAACCCTGTATTTTCCCCTAAAGGCTTTGGGTTCAGGATTCATGAATTCAGTGTTTGTGGCAAGATGATAGGACATACTTTTGTGAATAATGAGTAATCTGTATCTTCCTCACTTGGATGACTAATAGCCATCTTAGACTTTATTATGTAAAATACTGAATTCTTTCTTGTTATCAACCATCCACCATAAAATGAAGTATTACCATTATTCTTTTACTTAAGCCTTAACTTTGCTATTCCTTCTTGATTTTTCAATGTTGTCTTTCTTCCACATCCAATCTGGTACCTTATCCTGTGGTCATGTCCCCTAAATTTATACACAATATATCCATTCTTCACCAACACTATGACTACTACCCATAAACAAGCCCCCATATCCTCTACTTGGTTTTTAAGTAAACTGTAACTTTCTCGTCCTATTCATCAACATTAAGACAGGCATTACATAAAGTCTGACAGTATGAACACTTGGCTCCCTAAGGAAATGTTAACAGAAGTGAGATGAGACAAAAGGAAAGAAACTCAGACTCTGCGGACTCTCGGAGACATCGTCTAGCAACCTGAGGGCTGACCGGAGTGGTACTTGAGATGATTGCCTTTGAAAGCTTGAGAATGTGAGATGTAAAGGACTGAAATATGACAGCTTTTTAAAAATTGATAACCTTTGTATGGTAAGTTCCCATTAAAAGCAAATATCTCCTTTTAACTCTTTAGGTTGGTTTTCCAAACTCAGTTTCTAAATCTGCTAAGTTATTGTAAAATGGTCAGGGGCATTCTGCTTCTGTGTGATGGCTCATGTGAGGAATTATGTTCACTTGCTCAACTAGCTCCTATGATCTACCCAGAGTTTTGCTAAATTCAACTCTTTCCTCTTCATTAAAGGCATTATATTTAAATGCAAGTGAAAGATACTATCACAATGGGAATAACCACTCACATGCAAAGAAAAATTGTTCCTAAGTCTTGGTAGTTAAACTATCATTGGTAACAAATTATTTATAACACAACTCATGATGACCACAAGCCAGTGTGTCTACACTGCAGTCACAAAACTGAGTTAAATCACAGAGGGCTATTATTCCATGCTTCGTTATTTTCTTACACTATTGGTACACACACACACACACACACACATCATACACACACACACAGAGTTGACAACTTTTGTGCAAGGATATCACATTAAGCCATATTCAAGATAAAGGCTGTCTTATAAGAGGTAAAATAAGTACAGAATAAGTAAAGTCCAGAGATATATGTAGGCATATAGCTTTCATGATAATTGAGGAAGCTGAAAGTTTTGCTAAAAATTTGCAATTATATTGGCAACTTCATCATTCCATTCAATCATTAAGTAAGTCAGTAGAGGGGTTCCTGGCTGGCTCAGTGAGTAGAGCATGTGAATCTTTTTTTTAAATAAAATTTTTAATGTTTATTTATTTTTGAGAGACAGAGAGAAACAGAACCTGAGCAGGAGAGGGGCAGAGAGAGAGGGAGACAAAATCCAAAGCAGACTCCAGGCTCTGAGATGTCAGAACAGGGCCCAACATGGGGCTTGAACTCTGGAACTGTGAAATCATAACCTGAGCTGAAGTCAGATGCTTAACCCACTGAGCCACCCAGGTGCCCAAGCATGTGACTCTTGATCTTGGGGTTGTGAGTTTAAGCCCTAGGTTGGGGGTCGAGATTACTTAAAAATAAAATCTTAGAGGTTCCTGGGTGGCTCAGTCCGTTGGACATCCAACTCTTGGTTTTGGCTCAAGTCATAATCTCATGGTTCATGAGAGCCTTGTGTTGGACTCTGCACTGACAGTGCAAAGTCTCCTAGGGATTATCTTTCTCCTCACAATCTGCCTCTCCCTCACTCATGCTTTTCTTTCAGAATAAACTTTCAAAAAAATAAAATCTTAAAGAAAATAAGTCAGTAGAAAAAATCACATTAACAAAAAGCCAAAAAATAAAAAGAAAGGTAATTTAACTCCATGCTGAGAATTACCTTATCATCTCTTATCCTAGTTTCTCCAACTCACTTTACCTTGCATTTTAGTCTGTCACTCTTTCCCTCTGTCTTCTTTTAAGTAGTCATTCCACAGTGAATTTTTTGCTCCAGTCATGCCCATGCAGATCTTATAGAAATGTCTTCTGGTGATTTACATGATTATCACAAACCTCAGACCCAGCACTCCACTTTTTCCAGTTGTCTATCAGCCCATGTCTTCACCTGGATTGGGGGGGTGCAGCGGGCATGTGGGTAGGACAAGATACCAAAGCCCAAGCTGAGGCACATATCTCTTTAAGCCAGGAAGCTGAAGCTTCCAGACCCTCATCTGCATAAACTCTTTACTTATCTCTGTGTTAACACAGCCATATATCCAATAAAATTTGCAAAAGTAAGATATATTACCCACAGAAGGTTAAAATGGCTGCCATTTGTCTACTTCAACTCTTTCTCCATTACACTCCTCCATGTGTCCTGTGCTGCTGGAATGGCTGTGGATTAAAAATTAAGTTGTTGAGGATTTATGTGGTTTAACTTCTTTGAATTATGTTATTTTTTGATGTAGTGATATTCATGATACACAGCTTTTAACGTTTATAAATTTGGGTTTTTTCTCATTCTAATTTTATGTTATAAATATAGAGTATAGTATATATAGTATATATATATATATATATATATATACACACACATACATATTTTTCTTTGAAAGAGCCACCTTCCTCAGAAAAATAAACCTCAGACTCCATAAAACTTGGGTTCACCTCTGGTTTCCGAGTTTGCTTAAGCCCCACACAGTGAATCATAATCCACTCTGCCTAAAGAGAGCTAACCTCTCCTGTCTGTCTCTAGCCATAACAATGACAGTTCTCCTGGACCTACCAGATTTTTCTCGCCTATTGTCATTCTCTGTCTCCCTTCCAGTCTTCCATTTTGACTAAGAAAGGGCACCTGGCTGCCTCGGGTTGTACACATCTTTCTCCAAATAGTCCACAGTCCCTTTCCTGTTCCTTTTGACTGTGTCTCTCGATCCTGACATTCAGTGTGGACCTGCAAGAACAGCCCGGATGTTCCCTGGGAACTGGTTTGAAATGTAGAATCCCAAACCCTATTGACCCCTACAAGGTAAGAATCTGCATTCTAGAAACACCCTAAGTAATCCAGGTGCACATTTAAGCTTAGAAGTACTACTCTTGCTGAATGTGAACTTACTATTTGAGATAGCTATTATGTGTCTCATGGTAGTAAATACTTAGAATTCTATTTAGTATCTTTGCTCCTTAGCTTATGTGAAGATACTCATTCATATTCTAATTATTTCTTCAACAAAACCAGTCTCCCTAGGTAGTGTGTTAAAAAAAATGATCGGTAAAATTTATTGAATACTCACTATTGGGTTGATAATGGCTATGGAATGCCATTTTTTTATTTCCAGAAAATACACATTACAAAACTACATTAACTATTTTAAACTGTATAGTTTGGTGGCACTAAATGCATTTATAATGTTGTGTAACCATTATCAGCCTCCATATACAGAATTCTTTTCATCTTGTAAACCTGAAACTCTATAAACCATTAAAAAACACTAACTCCCTATTCTGTCTCCCTACCTCCTGCCCACCAATAATTATGCTTTCTTTCTCTATAATTTTGACTATTGTAGGAACCTCATGCATGTGGAATCATAAAATATGTGTAATTTTTGCAACTTACTTATTTAACTCAGCTTAATACCCTCAAGTTTCATCCGTGTTGCACCATGTGTCAGAATTTCTTTCCTTTAAAAAAAAGGCTGTATAATAATCCATTGTATGCATGTATCGCATTTTACTTATCCATTCATCCTTTAATGGACACCGGGTTGCTTCCATGTTTTTGCTGCTGTGAATAATGCTGATATGAACATGGAGGTGCAAATATTTCCTTGAAAGTCTGCTTTCAGTTCCTTGGGTAGAGACCCAGACGTAGAATTGTTGCATCACATGCCAATTCTACTTTTTACTTTTTGAAGAACTATCACCCTGTTTTCCACAGAAGCTGTATCAATTTAAATTTCCATCAGCAGTACCTAAGGGTCCCAGTTTCTCTACATCCTCACCATCCTGATGAGTGTGAGGAGGTATCTCATTGTACTTTTGATTTACCTTTCCCTAGTGATGACTGATGTTGAACATCTTCTCATGTGCTCATTGGCTATTTGTATACATCTCCTTCGGAGAAATGTCTATTCCTTTGCCCACTTTTGAATTAGGTTGTTTGTGTTTTAGTTGTTGAGTTTTAAGAGTGCTCTGTATTTATGAATATTAATCACTTATAAGATATATGGTTTGCAAATATTTTCTCTTAAACATTTCCATCACGCTATGTTGCCTCTGCAGTTACAAGGAGTTCAAGGGCTGAGCCTTATCCTCTCCATGTGCTTAACTAAGCCTTGTAGAACCCTACTGGTCCCATAGGAAGCATGAATGTGAACTGGTCTGGACATGGTCTGGTGACAGTACTACAGAGTCATATTAGCTGAGCAAGATCTTGAGGTTCCTCCCTATTTATGGGAAGCATAGTGAAATGAGTTAATCAGTCAGAATGTCTTTTTCTCTCTTTTTTAAAGAAATTTTTATTAATGTTTTTATATATTTTTGAAGGACAGTGAGAGATAGAGATAGGAGAGCATAAATGGAGGAGGGGCAGAGATACAAAATTCAACCACAGCATGATTCTGGCCCAATGTTTTTGGTTTTGTTTTTGGTAATAACAAATTTGGGGGACTATACAGACATGTTTGGTTCCAAGTTCCAATTAAAAGCATCACTCATTTAAAAAAAAAAAAAAAAAAAAAAACTTTTCCTAAGACTCTCCTCTGATCTGACTCTGTGTTCCAGCAGCCCGATCTACTGGGATCAGGAAGATGTGCAAAGCACAACTTAAGACGTATGAACACAGGGATGTCAAAGAAACAGTTTTTAAGCCCTCTGCTTGCATGAAGCATGCTCAGTAAAATTTGATATACATTCAGTAAAATTACTATGTGTCCTTGAATTGCTTTGCTTCTTGTCCCTGTACCCAAATTTTGTGTGTATTCAGTTTGAGGATTATCTACAGACACCACTTTATCGACACTTAACTACCCTTTGTTTGGTTGAGTACATGACACAAACAAATACTGTGCTTCTGAGTATCAGAATAAACTACATTTTAGGATAGTTTGAGCTTTATTTTAGTATTTTATATACAAAAAGTTTTATTAAGCAAATTACTAAGATAAAAAGTACAGCAAAGGGGATATTTACCCAACCTTGGGAACAAAGTAAAACAACAAAACTTGAGAAACCATTTGCATGTGAATTCATGCTAATTAAAGAAAGTTGGCATATATATTAAAGCAATATTTGTGAAATTTTTACTCACTGAATTCTCTGTACCACTTGACATTAGTAACATGCCTAGAAATAATAAAATTACATTTAATTAACAACATTTAATGATTAAAACTAAGATTTCTTTCCATACTTATTGTTAAATAATTAAACGTTTATTTATATTAATCCAATCACTCAAAAGTACATTTTTCTTCCATTAGCATAAGATAAGAGATTTTAAAAAAAACCTCACGTGATTGCAAAATATAAGAAAAGAATGCTTGAAAATAATCTTTCATGGAGGAAAAAATAA